AAAACAGAAAAACTATGGAGTTTGAATGCAAATTGAAGCATACTATTTGCTCTTTTTTTTTCTTCTGTTCTGTTTTATTTCCTCTTATTGGTTCTAATTCTTCCTTACAACATGACTAATGTGAAAATATGTTTAATAGGAATATATATGCATAATCTATATTAGATTGCAGGGCTGTCTTGGGGAGGGAAGGGGAGAAAATTTAAAACTCAAAACCTTATGAAAGTGATTGTTGATAAATCAAAATAAATTAATAAAAAAACAAAATGAAAAAAAAAGAACTTCATTCTTGAAAGTTTCCCCAACTCCTTGGGCTAATTTCCTCTATAGGATTTTAGTTCATGGAATCCTATCTATATTTTCTCTGAATCCTTTAAAATCTACTCTTCTAAAATTTGCTATGCATGTCAGATTATGCTTGGCTTTCCTCTCCTCTTCTAGGACAAATTCTGGGATGGAGTTGTTGCTTTTTCCCTAAGGTTCCCATCATTTCCATTCCAACAATTAGTTTCTCCCTATTGGTGGGAATCAGATCCAGAATAAAATTCCCCTTATTGGTTCCTCTGCCTTCTGAAGAAAATTCTAATTAAGGTAAGTCAAGACATCCTTAGTTTTTCTGCTTTGGGCAGAGAGATCTCTCTAGCAGATGTCTGAATAATTGAAGTTCCCTCATCACTTCTATATTATGCCTCTGTTCCAGGCTTGTGATCTGTTTCTCAACTCACCCTTTCCCTCATTCTGTCCAGGAATCCTAGGGTACACTACGAGGCCAATACCACTTTTGTAGTTGCTTCTGTTGCTCTTCAGCCAAATGCTCCTTACTATTCTTCCTTCTTCTTGTTCCCAGATTTCCTCAAACTATTATTATCGTCTTAATATACAATGCCTCCTATGCCTTCTCATTACCCATACTGGTTATTTTGTTTTGTTTGGTTTGGTTTTTGAGTAAGGCATACCATTCCAGAACCATAATCCTGGCTAGGTCTCATTCCATCAAGTTTCAGTGATACTTGCCTCCTTGCATTAGGATCTTGCTTGTTGCCTATACTTTATGCATTTGCAAACAAACATCTAAGACCATGGTTATGCATCAGGGTCCTTTCTTAGATTTTGTCTTCCATGAACTTTTATTTCAACTGCCATTCTTCTACATTGTAGCTACTCCTATAACATTTAGCTTGGTGGTAAATATAGACACTTTTTCTCCCCCTCTCTTCCTGTTCAATTTAGAGCCTTTTTGATTTGATTTGCAAGAATATAATTTTATCATCCCTTGTTAGGTATTCTGGTTAGAACTAGACACTTCCAAAGGTCCCTTTCAACTCTGACATCCTATGATCTATTACTTTATGAGACAAACACAGCCCATCTGCCTTCTTGGATACTGGGAACCTGAACCTGGTATTACCTCTTACCAAGACACAGTCAAAGTAAAGTCCTAAGGGGCAGCTAGGTGGTGCAGTGGATAGAGCACCGGCCCTGAAGTCAGGAGGAGGACTTGAGTTCAAATGTGACCTCAAACCAAACACCTGACACTTACTAGCTGTGTGACCCTGGGCAAGTCACTTAACCCCAATTGCCTAAAAAAGAAAAAAAACATTTAAAAAAAGGCTACATAATAAGAAGGGGGGGCAGCTAGTTGTGGCAGTGGATAGAGCTCCAGCCTCAGAGTCAGGAGGACCTGAGTTCAAATCCAGCTTCAGACACTTGACACTTACTAACTGGGTGGCCTTGGGCAAGTCACTTAACACCGATTGCCTCGCCAACAAAAAACAAAAAACAAAAACAAAGTAAAGTCCTTAGAAGGGAAGACCCAGTACATTTCATGGATTTGAGAACTATAAGGCCAGGAAGGGACAAGGGATCAGAGTCTATGATATCTTGCAGGAGATGAAGAGGGAGTGACAGGTTTTTCCTTAAATTCTGGACACTAGGACTCTACTTTGCCTTTGAGGCTGAGAGAATAGAATGTGAGGTTCAATACCAGCCCAGCAAAAATGACTGTGAGAGTTTCATCCCTTTGGGGTAGGAAGGGAAGAAAGAGGAGGAAAGGAAGAGAAGGAGAAGAGGCAAGGAAAGAAAAGGAGGAAAAGAAAGGAGACAGAGAAGTCTAAGGAGAGCAAGAGGAAATAGGTTGGAAACAAAAGAATCTGGATGATTTGAAGAAATGTCTGTTGGTAGGATCCCTGATGGGTCACTGGAGAAAACTGGGAGGAGATAGGGTATACTCCTGTCCAATAAAGAAAAGTACCAGGGAGTGTAACCTTGCCCTCTCTCAAATTGCAGATAGTTTCATCTTAACTAGGATCTAAGACTAGGGACATTTCAAGGAAGATCTACCCACTGGGTGGGTGTCATGGAGGCTCTTTATGCGTTCTTCTCATTTTCTGCATCTATATATATCTCTATCCCTCTCCTCTTTTCTCATCTGTCTCCCTGTCTCCATCTTGTTCTGTCTGAGCTTTTTTCTCTGTCTTTCTGGATTGGGGTAGGAGAGATTCCAGGATAACTACCCGCCCCTCCCTTAGCTTCCTAATTTAGAAATAGTACTTTCTGTTCCTTCAGTCTCCTCCATCTTCTTCCTTCGCTCCTGCCCAACTCTTCTACTAACTAACCCTCCCAGTGCCCTACAGTAAGGAGCCCAAGGGTCCCTCTGGCTTGGAGAGCCACTCCCTGAAATATGTCTTTTTTGGGCTGGAGTCCATCACTACTGTGTCTTGGCCAACAGCTGCTGGGCAGTGCCTTGTGTGGAAAGAGAAGGGAAATCTGGTGGGGAATTTGAGGGAGACTGAAAGTGGAAGTGGGATGGAGACAGATTTCAGAGGACAGAGGGAAAAGGGGAAAACACAGAGGCGATGATTTCATCACTTATAGGCAACCCTTGGAAGTACTTATAAAGAGAAAGTGGGGGACTTGGAAACAGAACTGGGGTGCACTTAAGAAGAGAATTATGAGGATAGTGAAGGACCATGGAAAGGAAAAGGAATTTCACTGTTTCAAATGAGTCTGTCTAATTGATTTGGAAATTCCTTCCAACGAAACAGACTGTAACCCATCCATACCTGCTTATCCTGTGACTTTTATCCATATCCTCCCATGAACTACACACATGGTCCACCCAAAATGGATTTGGAATCACTCAAGAACTTAAAATATCCCTAAGTACCATGGCAGGCGGGTAGAGATTGGTGGCGGAAGGGGGAGGTGACTGAGAGAGGGGAGGCAGGGACAGGGAGATACATGTGATGCTAGCAGGATGCCTGCGTGGGTTCTTTTTCCAACTCTGGCAAAAACCACTTTCCTTCTCCCCGTCCCTCCACATATGCATTGATTCTTTCGGTATCCTGCACCTTCCCTAGGGCTAAAAGCCTGAGCCTTCCTTACAGCGCTGAGACCAAGAGAGAAAGGGAGGCTTGCCTCCTTGGGTCTAACTCTGCTTGATCCCCTGGGCATCTTGTCCCCTAACTGGGAGATTTCTGCTGCTTGGAACCACGGCTGCCCGATGCCTTCTGTTGGATAGCACCTTCTCCTCCCCCTTCCGCACTCCACTGCCTGCAGGAAATTGGAATGACACACACACGCCCAAACACTTCTGATCCCTCTGAGACGCAGTGGGCACTGCTTTGGAAGCCCAGGCTCACCCACGTGGGAACGGAGAGACCCACCCCCGGTGAGTGTCAAGCTGACTCCACCCTCTCCGCTGGCCAGCCAGCCCCTGTGACGTTGCCGTCATCATGTAACGGTCTCTAGGGCGAAAGCAGGGAGGGAGGGAGCTCAGGCTGCTGCGCAGGCCCTCAGGCCCCTCCTCCCAGGTGACTCCCCTCCTTCTTCATCCCTACCCTCACCCTCTAGCCCGAGCCTCACGTTCGTCACCCCACTCATCCTCCCTCCCTCTTGATCCACCGATTACCCCCATTCAATGCTCATCTTTCATTTTCCTTGTCACTGCTCATCCTCCTCAGGCCCATCCCTTCACTGCTTATCTCCCATCATCCCTCTCGCAGCCCAGCCTCCCCATCACCTCCATTCATCCACCATCCCCCCTCACTGCTCAGCCTCCTCTCCCCCCCATTTTTCATCCCCTATCTTTCCCACACCTCATACCCCATCACTCCTCACTGCTCATCTTCTCCATTCGCCATTACTTTTCTTATTTTCTCCATCCCCTTCGCTTTGCTTCCCATCATCCCCTTGATCTTCATCCCCCAACCCCCTCCTAACATTCACATCATCCCATCTTCCATTCCACCTCGCTCTTTATCTTCCCATCACCCTCTCCTCATTATCCCCATTCCCTTCATTCCTAACTCTTCCATCATTCCTTCATCACCAAATCCCTTCATTCAACACTCAAATCTTCCCATCCCCCACCCACTTCACTTCTCATTCCCACCCCACCTCCTCATTCCCTTTCTCGTAATTTCTGTGCTCCTCTCTTCTTATTCCCTTTATTCCTAATCCATCACCTTCTATAACTCCCTACCTTCCATCATCCCCCTCACTCCTCATCCCCCATTCCCTTCACTCCTAACCCTCACTCCTCTGTCTCTTTACTTCTTATCCCCCAATTTCCCTCCTCTTACTCTCCATCTCTACCATCCCTCTCACTTATCCCTTATTCACCTCATTCATTCCTTCCCTCTCTCTTTAGCCCCCATTCATTTCACTCACTCTCCATCATCCCCCAATCCTTATCCTTCCTGTCCCCCTCCTAACCACTCATCACTCCCATCTCATCATCCAAATTCCTCTCACTCCAAACCCTCCCATTATCCCTTCCTCTTGCCCCAGTTCCTTCACACCTTATCCCCCTCACTTCTCACTTATCCCTTTCTCATTTATCCCCTTCATTTCTTGTTGTTCCTCAACTCCAACCCCTTTCACTTTTTATTCCTTATCACCCCACCCAATTTACTCCTCATCCCCATTACTCCACTGTCTCTTTTCTCCCATCGTCCTCACTCTTCACATTCCCTTACCCTCATCTCTCAGCTGCACTCTCTTCTACCCCTTATCTCATTCCCTTACCCTCCTCATTCCTCTATCCTTTTCATTCACACTATGCCCTCACCTTCTTCACTCTACTCTCTCATCTGTTTACCTCCATCTTCACCCTCTTTATTCCCCCTATCCCTCAACCTTCACCCTATCCCCTTCATCCTTCTACAACAGTCCAACTTTCTTTATCCACACTGGCTACTCCCTTAATTCCATATCCTTTCAATCCTTTTCCTCTCACTGTCCTTCCAGATCTTCTTATCCATTCCTCACTCCCTCTGCCACTGTACTCCATCCATCTTAATTGCTCATCCTCCTTCTTACCCCTCCCCATTCTCCCACTCTCCTACCCACCTCTCCCCACTTCCCGGTTCCATACTCAGGTCCCCCTCATTGTCCCGTACCACTTACTTCCCTCCCATTTCATCACTTCACCTCATCCTTTCACAACCTTCTCTCTCGTCCCCTGTTCTCCCTCTTGTCTGTTCCTTTAATCTACCTTATCATTATCCCCCCATTTCCTATTCCTGTCAGCCACCTTCAATCTTCACCCCCTCTCTGTCTCCCAGCTCAGGCCCTGTAGATTGTACCTTATCATCATTTCCTCACTGCCCATCCTTCTGTCCTCATTATCCTTTATCCTCAACCACTAATTGTTCTTGGGTCCTGCCCTTTCATAGTCTCTCAGTGTATGGACTTTCATTATCTTTCAGTCTTCATCTCTGGCTCCCCTTAACTTTTCCTCCCTCTCAGTCCATAACCTCATTCCATACCCTCGAGTTATGCCTCAATCCATTTTTCCTCTGTTCTCTCAGGTGTCACTCCTTCTCTAACCTTCTATATTTAATCCCTTCATATTCACCTCCCATTACTTCACGCCTCTCTTATCTCTATCTCCTTGTTCATTTGTTTGGGCCCTTCAATGTCCCTTAGCCTTCATTCTGTCAACGACCCTCATCTTCTTCCCTTTACCTGCCTTTCCCAAGTCTCCTCTCTTTACCCTCCCTCTCCTCAGACCCCATCCCCTGGTTGTCTCTCAGTCTAATCCTTTCACTGTCCATCAACCTTTCTCCTCACTACCTCATAGTCCTCATCTCCTCATAGGACGGTTTTTCTGAGGGGGATTTAGGGTGCTGGTGGGTAGGGCGAAGTCCTGGCAAGGATCTCTTTTTGAGACTATAGTTACAGACGATCCTTCACCCAGGCTTAGCTCCTTAGAACCACCTATAATAGCCTCCTCTCGCCCTGGGCACCTCCTCTCTTCGGGGCCTCTCTGTTTTACCTAATTGAGATCCCGCCAGAGGCATCTGAGGAGGGAGGCGGGGAGGTGCCAGTGGGGCCCCGACAGTGGACCCTCTTTCTCTTCTCCTACTTTCAGGGCAACTGCGGTTGGACTTTGGTGAAGCGTGGGACGCAGTAAGGGCCTGATTCATAGAAAAGGCGGGGGAGGGGAAAGGAAAAAGAAACGGGTGGGGGATGTAAGGGCCTTGAGACCCCCAAAGACCCAACCAACGACGTTCACCTTCTTAGGATTACGGCTGGAGCCAAGGACATGCCGGGGTTGAAGAGATACGAAGTGGCGCTGGAGGCAGAAGAGGAGTGAGTGGGGGTACCGGGCAATTGGGTGGCGGCAGCGGAGGGGTAATAGTGGGGAGAGGGGCATGGGAAATAAAAAAGGTGGGGAGGGATTATGGACTGTGAGACCAAGTGATGAGAAATGGTAGGAGAAATGATAAGAGGACCCTAAGGGTCAAGAGGCTGGGCCTTCCCACCCCTCCTCCATCCCTTCTCCTCACTTGGCTTCCTTTTCTTTAGGATCTATTGGGGCTGTTTTTATTTCTTCCCTTGGTTGCGGATGTGGCGAAGGGAAAAGAGGTGAGGTGGCTCAAGAAAGTCTGAAAAGAGTCTGGAAAGGGGGTGAGG